AAATTTTATTTCAACGTATACAAAAAATTAATCTACCTGCGCTACAGCACGTCGGGAGACGAGGAGGGGGGGGCCGGGGGGCCCGCGGCGTGACGCCTGGTGCGCGCCGGTCGCGCGGGGTACGCGGGGTACGCGGGGCGCCGCGAAGCTAAGCAAATTTAATGTTTGAAAGAGAAATAATGTCAATTGATTTTCTTTCGTTTTTAAAAAGGTAATAATGTCAATTGACTTTATTTCGCACCAAGGTGGGAAATAAAGTCAATTGACCTTATTTCCGTCGATCTTATTACCTGTCACCGAAATAATGTCTAAATGCACAGTTTCCATATGCGCAATTTCGGTGCCCCTTCTTACCCAATATGTAAATAAATTAGTCACCAAAAATTACAAAAGTGGGTATTAAAATAATGTTTAGACCCTTGGCTAAAAGAGTGTGCAAATTTTTTTTGGATCGGGTCGCCCCTTTGGACGCAATACCTCGAAATATTTCTGTAACGTACTAAACAGTACCCAAGTAGTCTGGTAGTGCTGAAATGCGTTTTTGTATACAAATTGAATTAAATATATAAAGAAGATTCCACTGATCTACCCAATAGACAATGAATTAACTTTTTATGGCCACATAGATAATAAAAATTAAATAAATGGATATTCACATAAAATTCTTGCCAAAGAACAATCTTTGAAATCTTTGAAGAAATGTTCCCAAATATTCAAAATAAACCATGGTTTCATTGAAATTCCAGTATATATTAAACAAAATTAATGGAATTCAAACAAATCCTTTATTCAAAGGGACTATATGAAGAATTATACAAATAGTAAAGATGCAATTGATTTAATGCATATATATATATGCTGATAGCATGGTGCTGGATGAAATTTAAACTAATAAGGAAACTGTTTGTGGGTTTTTAATTGTTGAATTTCACAAAACAAACTTATTTAAATATAATATATAGTGTTTTATTAGGAATATGCTGCGAATAAACAACCAATTTATCAGCTGTTCATGCATGGGCGTAGCCAGGTAGGGGCAGGGGGGTGCTCGAGCCCCTAACTTTCAAATTTTCCTTATATACATATAAAATAGTACCCTGAAATGCCAGCTTAATAGGGTCGAGCTCACTCCCACTTATGATTACATATGTATATCTCGGGAACCGCTCCACCAATTTCTCCCAAACTTGGGACAGTGGTTGGTTTTGATAAAACATACCAAACGGCTGAATATGTTTAAAATTCGACAATCACCATGCCCACATCCCACATACAGGGGAATTTAGAGTAATACGAAAGTTTCGATAAATCAGTAAATACTAAAGCTAATTTATTCAAAATTGACGTTTGCAATAATACTTTACCAAAAAATACGATGATAATAAAATTTGGGAAAGTGGGGGTGACCGCGTCCATTTATGACCACATATATGTATCTCGGTAACCGTTCGATCAATTTGTACCAAACTCTGTACGATTATTGTGCTTGCTACATAAATTATTGAAATCTGCCAAAATTACGCCCACTTTTCTGTAACGGTAAATTTCAGAAATGCTTGAACTTTTGAAATTTCGAAATTTCAGGCCGCTAATTTTACCAAAAATTGATACTAACAACAATCCCTTGAAAAGAAGTAACATTATTACTGAATTTTGGAAAATGGGCGTGATGTCGCCCACATATCTCATTATATCTAACTGAGCGTTCTATCGAATATGTTTCNGAACTTTTGAAATTTCGAAATTTCAGGCCGCTAATTTTACCAAAAATTGATACTAACAACAATCCCTTGAAAAGAAGTAACATTATTACTGAATTTTGGAAAATGCGCGTGATGTCGCCCACATATCTCATTATATCTAACTGAGCGTTCTATCGAATATGTTTGAAATAGACTTAAAACAAGCCCCTGTTTACCACGTAGCAGTAGTTTTCGGAAAGGTGAAAAAACTATATTGAATACTTGCATCAAGTTATAAGTAACGGAAATTAGGCTTATTTACATAGCCTAACGCAACGAAGAAAGAATACCTTTAGCGCTTTGTAGTAGTACATAAAAACAGTTGTCTGAATTGTTTGAGTGCTGCACATACCGTGACAAGGGGCACAAGCCCCTTTAATTGCAGCATGTGCCACTCGTGACATCACTCGCTCTTGCACATTCAGACCAATGTGCCAAAGGCAACAGCGGCTCGCACGCCGCCGGGACCTCCCAATAACACCGCATCATCCTCTCAACATGCACAAGCAAAGCGCAGCTTTAATAACACTGTGAGACAAATGGTAGGGGTCAGTGATCGGGAAGGGTTC